CTAGACGTCTACCCTGGCTTCCTTTGTTGTATATTATTTAGAAGTATGCAGCCAGGCATATTGTAATCTCAGTACACTGGGAGGCTGAAGATGGGGAATCGTAAATTCCAGCCCAGGCTGCTGGGATACTAAGGATGAAAAGAGCTAGGGACATAGTTCAGTGCAAAGGCCTTGTACTCAACCCTCAACACCACAGGAAATTTTAAAAAAAATATGAAAGTGCAAGTATGCTCTTAGCTAAAATATTGCACAGACTTTGCCATCTTTGTGAAGCAAGCAAGTTTGTCAGTGTTGCTATCGGCTTACTCATGACACTGGAAGTGCACCCCCATAGCAGAAAGTGAAGCGAAGGTGATATATGCCAGGGCTCTGTACGTAACCATAACCTCCTGACCGTGCAGAACATACAGCAGACATCTAGGACCCGCACATGACTCGGACCCGCAGCCTCTGCAGAACACAATGGCCGATAGTTTATTCATGATGGCTATCTTCGGTATATTCTTAATCTCTACTTATAACTCAAGACCAATTAGAGAAAGCCAATAATGCTCCCCCCAGTCAATCATAAAGATACCCACTTCCAGTTATCTCCACACCAGCAGCTTCTAGCCATGAGGCCTCCTTTCATCCCGTACAGCTTCCCATTTTCCAGGCACACGTAAAGACGCCGATTCCTTTCTCTGGCAAGTGTTAAAGAGGCAGCCTCCACCTGCTACCTTTGGGTTGGTCTTCACCTATTTCCACCTTTCCCTGCAGATTTCACTAAGACAGTCCACTCTATCTGTCACCACAGACGCTGGGCTCTCACAAGTATCTCCTGGCATTTGCTGTCTGGGCAGGTCGAGTCCCATGAGCTCTGTAAGTCAGCATTGGACCTGGCTTCCACTCTCTCTGCCTGGCATCCTGTGACTATTTGTTCTCAGTTTGACACAGGGCTCTGCTAAGGATTCTCTTCTGTTTGGCATTCTTAGTCGACTCAAGATGCCTCTTTCTACTTATTTCCACCTGTATCACTGTTTTGCATTGTGCAATTTAAAACGCCAGTGGTTATAAAAATAAAGAAAAATCACAGGGAAAATCATACAGGCAGAGACCAACTTCACAGACAACACTGTTCTCATGGAGAACGGTTCTCATGGATACAGTCTCCACTTAGACTTTGGTCTTGAGTAAAACCAGAGGAGAATTTCTGCCTTGATGTTCTATCCTGGGAGCTTTCCTCTGCCTCAGAGAGTGTCCTGTCAGGCGTTCTGGCCCTTGGGACATGCAGCTTGTCAAAGCCATGTTTGGAGGTGACCCACAGCTCTGTGACGGGCCTGAGACACAGGTGCACATGCCTGGCATCCTGCCTGGCTGTCGCCGACTCTCAGAGGCTTGGTTACAGCTGACTCCTCTCTCTGTCAAGAGGAACCCCACTTCTCACCTGTGCTGTCACAGCAAACTTTCTCCTTGCATTTGCCTTTCTAAATGCCATGAGGCAAGACACCATGCGGAATGACATGGGGCATCAGTGACCTCTCTGCAGAACATTCAACTTGATAAAAAAGAGCTGTTCAGTACAGTGAAACTTTAGAAAAGAAGGGAAGAAGATGTTACAAGCCCACCAAGCAGTATTTGGGGATTGGCGTATATGTCCTTAAAGTGAAACTCTGCAAGGTCTTTGACCAAAGCTAACAAGGAAGCACCCAGACTATTTACACAGACTGACTTCCTTCTGAACCCTCAAATCTTCCTCCTCCTCACCTTCCAGCTCTCTCCTTATGCTCAGCTCTCCCCTTCCCTGTCGCCGTCTTCTCGCTCCTTCCACTTTTGCTCTTTTCTCTTCCCCTTACCCAGATCCTTGTCTTTTCCCAGTGCTCTTCTCACACTCAAAGTCCTGACTTCCTCTGACGATCCCAGCCCTTCTTTGAGTCAGATACACACGCACCTGTAGCATGAAAACCCTTAGGTTCACTTGGAAGTGAACTCTAAAATTAACAATTTTCCCAAACCCAGAATGTCCAGCAACTGTGCACAGAATAACAGAATTTCTTGTGTAATCCAAAAGTAGGTAACTTATGTCGACTTGCACACACACTGGTAGAACCTCAGGTAGTAAATGCTCAGGGCCAAAACTAATGAGACTGATCTAGAAAGACAAATAACTCCTCTTTTTAAAAATTTTATTTAATTTTTTTATTTTAAAAAACGATTAAGATAAAAGAGGACATAACAACACAGGTCGGAACAGAACAATTTAAGCAACATAGTGTTTCACCACAAGACAATCCAATATAACAGTAGCTACCATAGTTTCTCTTTCCTTAAAATATACCTTCATACACTATAGTATCAAACATAAAAAGACAGTGTAAAATATACCTTAAAATATATCTTCATACACTATAGTATCAAACATAAAAAGACAGTGTAAAGCCAAGAGAATGAAAGTATTACAGCATATTCAGAACCAACTAACAGAAAACAAACAATGGTTTCTATGTTATCTCCTTGTCTATAAAAATTTTTGTTTATACTATCGCATACAATAAAATCCAGTCAAATACAACAAGATAAAACTGATGGAGACAGAAGAACAAAAGCTTGATGGGACTTCAAAACAAGATGATATTAAATCATCGCTAGATATTATAATGTCTTATTTTCTTCAAAATAGCTATTCATACCATCACAGACAATAAAATCAAACAACCCAGAATAAAACCATTCCAATTAATGAATGAAAACATTTATAAGGCTTCAAAGCAATATAATGGGGAATCAGGATTACCACATACTTTTATGTATTCTTACCATTTCTTACACTAGGGAAACTATTAAGTATTTATTTTTTTAAAATTTTATTTAAAGAAAGGCAAAACAAGGCAGAAATAGTACATACTTTCAAAGAAAAGAAATAAACTAATAAATCACTAGTTGATGTACCCATATTGTCCCCCACAAATAGTTGTTCAAGATACAAAAGTGGAACATATAAATGGGAATTCTACCAGGGAGACTGCAAACCATTCAACTATCCAATAACAACTAAGTAATATGAGTATCAATCCTATACACTTATATTTTATGTATGCACTTATCTGTATCTTTTTTTATTTAAAGAGGAAAAAACCAAAAAATGGAGAAAAAAAGGTAGAAATAATACAGAATTACAGAAAAATAAATGGTAAGAAATCACCAGTTGATAAGTTACATATTGTCCTCTTAGAAATAATTGTTCAGGTTACAAAATTAAAGTATGTAAAGTGACATTCAGAAAGTGACACTGCTAACAGTTCTGCTCAGTGACCTAACAAAAACTTAGTAATATGGTTATCAGTCCTACATACTTGTTGTTTATCTTACAAAGTGTAAGATTAAACATATCAAAACAGAACAAATTAGTTCAAAAAGAAACAATTTAAAGAAATAGTTTTTAAAGCAAGTCCACTGGAGACCTTCACTGTTTATCTAATTGTCTCTAGTTTTCTTCCAAATAGTTGTCCCCATCTTTATGCACATTAAATACATACTGCATATTATAGAACCAATCAAATCATTACAGGATGATGAAGGCTTTTTAGGTCTTCAAGATCTGACATTGGGGAAGACAATAATGACTACCATAGTGTCTCTCATTCTCTTCATAGTAGCTGTCCTTATCTTTACATATGCTGAAACTGAACTTAAGAGACTAGACTAATATCACTCTGAACAGTGAACAATAGGATTGCTAGATTTTATATCATAATGCTACAGAATTAGCATTGGGTTTCTTAGTGTCTCTTCTTCAGAGTATCTGTTCATTACATCTTGTATTATATAATTTATTCCTGTAAATAGTTTAAAAAATTTTTCCCATGTGTGAATTTCTACATGTATATCTATCCTCTCAGTATTATAGGGAAAAACAAATCATAACAAGACAGTAAAACAAATTCCTAGAAAAACATGAAAAAGACACAGAAGACCACAATATTAGGTGATCTACCATACTTACTATGCTTTCTCTTATTATTTTCAATAGACTTGTCCATATCATCGGGCTTAATATAGTTAAGCATAGTATTACATAGCTCTTTTTATAAAAACCCAACTTTGAAAACATTGTAGGACTTGAGAGCAGTTAATAGTCAAAACTGGTATGGATATCTTTTACATCTTGTCATCTTCAGAGTAGTTGCCTATACTTTTAGATTTGATACTATCAAGCATACCAAATTCAAATAAAATCACCAAGGCAAAACCGTGGTCTAATGAATCAGATTCAAATAAGATCAGTCATAGTAAGACAATGTAATTAATACAGGGTTTCAGTTTAAGTTAATAGGAAATTAAGGATAGTTACCATGGTATAACCTGCTACTTTTGGATCAGATGTCTGTGCCCTCAAATCTGATACAAGTGGACAGATCACAACAAAATAAATTCAGACTAAACAGAGTGATAAGACTACTGTGAATTTTAAATCCTGATACACTATTAACAATGACCTCTGCCTTTTTTATAGTATATCAAAGCTATCTATACTAAAGATTATAGCTTACCATCTCTGCCTCATGTCTGCTACTCTACTTTACTGCTATAATTTGTCCACCTTACTCCCTCATTCCACTGTCTGCCCCGTTCATTGAGGCTCTCTGCCACTGTTGCTGGAATCCTGGTATCCCTTCCTCTCTTTCTCTGGAATGTCCTTTAGCAGTCTCTGTAGGGTTGGGTTGGTGGCCACGAACTCCCACAGTTCCTCCTTGTCTTGGAAGCATCTTATTTCTCCATTAATTTTGAAAGAGAGTTTTTCTCGGTATATCAATCTTGGTTGCAAATTATTTTCTTTTAGAGCTTGGACTATTACCCCCCAGACCAGTCTCAATTTGAGAGTTTGTGTTGATAAATCTGTTGTTATTTTGATAATTATCCCGTTGTAGGTAATCTGCATCTTTTCTCTGGCTGCTTTTAATATTCTGTTATTTTGGTGGATTTCTGGAATCTTGATTATTATATTTCTGTGTGTAGATCTGTTTTGGTTGTAGGTGGCTAGAGTTCTGTATGCCTCATTTATCTGGATATCATTTCTTTTTCCTATGCTTGGGAAGTTTTCCTTTAATATATCTGTGAATATTCTTTGTATTTCATTTTTGGTTACTCCTGCTTTCTCGCTCACGTGCTTTATTCTTAAGTTATGTGTCCTTTTGTCATCTTCTATCCTTTGAATTGTTTTTTTCTAGTTCCTTGTTATTTTTAAGAGGTCTTTTCTTTTATGATCATATATCATAAATCTCTCTTCAAGTTTCAAAAGGCTAACTTTAGTTTCTGTCAAGGCATTTCACCAGTTTTCAAGGGAGTTTTTAGTTTCCTGGTAATCTCTTTGTATCTGTTTCATGTATTCTAGGTTATGTTTAAATTCTTCATCAGGGTTTTCTCTTTTTTTTCTGATTTCCTCCATTCTTCCATCTGTGTTCTCTTGGGAGGGACTTATCATTTCTTTAATAAATCTCTTTATATCTTGCCTCACTTGGATCAGAAGTACAGTTTTAAATTCATCTATGAGGTCATGAAGGTATTTCTTTATTTTGGCTGATGCTGTGTCTAGTATTGGATGGTTACTGTGCTGGTTCTCTTCTGTGTTTACTTTTCCTGGGCTTATTTTCCCAGGTTCAGCAATTGGAGATTTTTAAAAATTTCTATCTCTTGGCATGTTTCTGGTTTCTTTCAGACTGCTGTGTCGTGGGAGTCTCTGGCCCTCTCCATATTGCTTAGGATCTTTCCGAAGCATGCTGACTGGAGTTTTTGCTGCCCTCTCTAACTTGCTGTTATCTGAGGTAGGCAGGGATGCAGGAACAGTGCAGACTAGCCTCCAGCCTCTGTGCCAGTCAATCCTCAAGAGTCTTGACTATTTTGTATGTGCTTATTGGGTCCCAACCAGAGGCATGGTTCAGCCCCAGTAGACCCTGCCAGTCCTCTCTGTGTCAGAAGCAGCTGACTGATGTCACCGTGGTACAGGGCTCTGCCCAAATCTCAGCTGTCCTCTATCAGACCTCTCTGCGCCAGGTATGACTATCTGATGTCACCTTGGTGCTGGAGTCTGCCCAATTCCAAGATGCTCTCCACCAGTCCTCTCTGTGTCACTGATGCCATCATGGCACCGGGCTCTGCCCAATTTCAAGATGTCCTCCACCAGGAACAAGGGTGACTATCTGATGTCACCACAGTGCGGACCCTCCCCAACACCAAGATGTCTTCCACCAGTCTTCTCTGTGCCACTGATGCTGCTGTGGTGCTGGGTTCTACCCAATTCCAAGATGTCCTCCAGCCAGCAGCAGCAGCTGTGGGACCCAGCCCTTAGTACTCACTGGACTCAATGCAGATCTTCCTCTTGGGTCCACTGCACACTGTATTGCTTGTCTTAACTGCATTCCCAGCACAGCGTGGATTGGAGAAAAAAAACTGTCTGTTGTCTGGCTTTGGAGCTCCAGAGCTTCTCACAGTCTCTCTGGTGCAGCGAGGTGGCTTTGGCTACTTTGCAGGACCCCAGGTCTCAATTTCCAGTAGTCGCCAAGAGCCAATACAGCTTTTCCCCTTGGATCCACTGCTCACTGTGCTGTGTTAAGGTTCCAGGATTTGCCGACTCCCGTTATCAATAGCTGCAGTCTCAGCACGACCTTAAATTTTCCAGGCACACCTAGTACAGCGTGGAATGGGGCTCAATGAGTACATCAGGCTTCAGCTCTCCATTTGTGCTTTTCCTTCCCTTCCCTAGTTTTGTTTTTCCCTTTGGTTACCACCTTGGTTAATAAGAATTATTATTCATTTGTCTGGCCCTCTCCATGTTGTCATATTCTAGCATCTAATCTGATTTCTCCGCAGAGACTCTGCACCCAGCCCCCTAGCAAGCTGCCAATTTTCTCCATCCACACCAGCATTTATCTATATCTTCATTTATGTTGAGACCTAACAAAACTTAGTAGATTAAAATCATTTGAACAAAGATTAATAATGTTGCTGGATTTCACATCATAACAGTTTAGCATCAGCACTGGGTACTGCAATGCCCCTTTTTTTCCTTCGAAGTATTTGTTCATTTCATCATGTGTCATAAAATCAGCTCTCATAAACTGATTATAGGTTTTACACAAGCATGAATCTTGACATGTATTTCTATCCTTTCTATATTAGAGGGAGAAACAGAACAAAGCAGGACAGAACTAAACATATTTCTATAGACACATAAAACTAAGAAGACATATAAAACTGCTGTATAAGGAATTCTACCATGGTCATTGTGCTGTCTATTGTTATCATCAACAGAATTGGCTATATCATTAGCTAAAGTATAATTGAATATATCAGTACATAACAGAATTAATAGAAATACAACTTTTAGATAGTCTAGAGCCACAAAAAGGGTAGTAATCAAATCAGAATAGATATCATAGTGAATCATTGTCATTTTCAAAATAGTTGTCTATACTCCTCAACTTGATACCATGAACCTAACAGTTTTGAATAAAATCTGTCAATAATAAGCAGCAATCAAACAAGTCAGATTTAACTAAGATCAGTCATGATACAACAGGATAAGTCATAAAAGGATCTGGATTGAGTTAATAGGAAATTAAAGATGACCACTATGCTATATCCTGATATCTTCAGACAGCTGTCTGTGCCCTCAGATCCAGTGCTTGTATACAAATTAGGATGGAACAAGTTCCATCCATGCAGAGTGGTGTGAGTAATAAGTATTTTAATTCCTGATACACTATTAGCAATATCTTTTGCTGTCTTTTTAAAAGATTGTTCCTCCCCTTTCACTCCCACAGGATGTACTGTGTATTTTGGGGTCTCCCCAACACTCACGGTTTTATATTGGGGGGGGGGGCAACCTGCTATTTACCTAAGTGTTTCTGAACTTTCTCACTCCTGGACTGGATTTCTTTCTTTCTTTCTTTCTTTCTTTCTTTCTTTCTTTCTTTCTTTCTTTTTTTTTTTTTTTTTGGTCTTTTTCCTTTTTATCGGTACCAGGGATCGAACTCATGACTGCCTGCTTGCAAGGCAGGCGCTTATGCCGCTGAGCTAAATCCCCAGCCCCTGGACTTGATTTCTAGTTATATTTCTTTACTTACTAAAGCCTATCTTTTGAACCTATCCATAAATACTGGTCCAGTTACCCCTATTACTCTCTGGTTCCCTATTACATCGAGTTCCATTTTCTTATATTTGATTTTGGTCCATATACTCTTCTTCAGGTTAATTATTTCTATTAAAGAGCCTCTTGGTGGACCCTACCTCTTGATCCACTCTGCCTGCGATTCTCTTTTTTCCCTTAAGTTAGGGTATCTAGGTGATCTATATTAGAAGTTAATCCAATCTTCTCTGCCTCATTTCTATTGTGCTCTTTTTCGGGCATTAGTTACCTGTTGTCTTCTTTATTTTGCTTTTTGTTCCATTTGTTGGGGTCTCTCTGCCACTGTTCCTGAAATCCTGGTGCTTTTCTCTTTCTTTAGAATGTCCTGTAGTATTCTCTGTAGAGTTGGATTGGTGGTTGCGAATTCCCCCAGTTCCTCTTTATCTTGGAAGCATCTTGTTTCTCCATTAATTTAGAGGGACAATTGTTCAGGATACATCAGTCTTGGTTGGAGGTTATTTTCTTTTAAGACTTGGATTACTTTGCCCCATGTTCTTCTAGATTTTTTTTTTTTATTTAAAGGAGAAAAAAACCAAAACAGTATAAGGGTACAAATAATACAGAATTTCAAAAAAAGTAAGAAATCACTAGTTAATAGATTACATATTGTCATCTTAGAAATAGTTGTTCAAATTACAGGATTAAAGCATACAAAGTGGACATTCAAACAGTGACACAGCAAACAGTTGAGTTCAATGATCCAACAAAAACTCAGCAATCTGGTCATCTGTCTTAACACACCTAAACACACCACAGTTGTATCCTTTAGAGCACTTTTTTTCATCTCTTTTTTTTTACAACAAAATTTACACATTTTGGGTTTTATTACTCCCATAGTTCTTATTACTTTTTTTGGAAGAGAATACAATCAAATATGACAAAATAAAGCAATCAATGGAAACAAAGGATAGACATAGCATATGATGTAAAAACAGAATACAAGGTTATCAACAATGGTTACCATAATGTCTCTTGATTCCTTAAAAAGAATTGCCTATATCATTAGGTATAATAAAGTTGAACAAAACAGTACAGAACAAGACCAATAAAACCTAAACATTGGAAACATTACAGGACTTCAAAAGAAGATAATAGTCAAACCAGAATGAGCATCATAGTGAATATTATTGCCTTCAAAGTAGTTGCCTATACCCTCAAATTTGATACTATCAAACAGAATGGAACAGAGTAAAATCAGTCAAAACAAGATAGTGGGAGTAATACAGGGCTTCAAATCAAGTTAATAGGAAATCAAAAAGTTACTATATTATATCCTGCTAATTTTTTGATTTTTCCCTTAATTAAAAAAATAAATAATTTTTTTAGTGAATAAGGGGGAGATTGAGATAAAAGAGGACATAACAACATAACAATAGGTCAAAGCATGACAATTTCAGCAACCTAGTGCTTCACCACCAAATAACCCGACTTAATAGCAGTTACCATAGTGTTTTTTTCCTTGAAATATTTGAGTATAACTTCGTATACTATAGCATCAAACATATCAAGACAGTGTGAAACCATTCAAGTTGATGAAAGTATTACAGAATATTTAGAACCAGCTAACAGAAAATGAACAATGGTTTTTATATTATCTCTTTGCCTATAAAAAATTTTGTCTATACTATCACATATAATAAAATCAAGTAAGATACAACATGATAAAACCAATGGAGACAGAAGAACAACAGTTTGGTGGGACTTCAAAGCAAGATGATATTGAATCAGCACTCGCTAGTATGATGTCCTCTTTCCATCAAAATAGCTGTTCATATCATCAGAGGCAATAATATCAAATATCCCAGAATAAAGCCATTCCATATAATGAGTGAAAACTTTATAAGGCTTCAAAGCCACATAATGGGGAATCATGATTATCACATATTTTATATATTTGAATCATTTCTTACAATAGGGAAACTATTTGGTTTTCATACATGTGCATTTGATTTATTTCACTTATGAGTATGGTCTCAGGCTGCGTTCATTCATTTATAAATATCTCAATGTGATCCTTCTTTGTAGCTGAGTAGTACTCCATTGTATAAAAACACCACAACTTTTTTATCCATTCCTCAGTTGATGGACACTTGGGTTGTTTCCAAGATCTTGTGATTATAAATTTTGCTGCTATAAACATGGATGCACATATATCACTGTGGTATGATGCTTTCAGTTCTTCTGGGAATATGCCTAGAAGTGGAACAAATGGGACTTCCAATCCCAGCTTTTTGAGAAATCTCCAGACTGACCTCCACAATGATTACACTAGTCTACACTCCCACCAATAGTGCAGGAGAGTTCCTTTATCCCCACAGCCTTTCCAGCATTTGTTGTTGATGTTTTTCTTGATCCTGGCCATTCTTTCAGGAGTGAAATGGAATCTCAGTGTGGTTTTAATTTGCATTTCTCTAATGAGTAATGATGATGAACATTTTTTCATGTATTTATTTGCCATTTGTATTTCTTCAACTCAGAAGTGTGTATACATCTCAGATGCCCATCTTTGGATTAGATCCTTGAATCTGGGGGGTCTGATCTTTTAAAATTCTTTATATGTTTTAGACAGAAGTCCTTTGTCTGAGGGAGAGTTCACTAAGATTTTTTCCCAGTTTGTGGGTTTTTTCACTATGCTAGAGATGTCTTTTGACATGCAGAATTTTTTCAATAAGACATGATCCCAGTTGTTGATTCTGGGGAGTACTTTCTGTGCAGTTTGATTCCTGTTCGTGAATTCTCTATCTTCCCCTATGAGTTCAACATTTTTACCCAGCTTGTCTTCCAATAGATTTAGTGTTTCTGTTTTAATATTCAGATCTTTGATCCATTCAGATTTTAATTTAGTACATGGTGATAGGCATGGGTCTAGTCTTAGTTTTTGTCATATGGAGAGCCAGTTTTTCCAACACCATTTATTAAAGAGACTGTCATTCTTCCAGTGAAACTGTTTGGCCCCTTTATCAAAGATAAGGTGGTTGAGTGTGTTTGTAGTTGTGGTTGTATCTTCCAATCTATTCTATTGATCTGTGGCACTGTTTTGATTCTAGTACCATGTTGATTTTACTATAGCTGCTTTGTAGTATAACTTCAACTCAGTGACTGTGGTGCACCTTGCCTTGCCTTTGCTGCTTAGAACTGTCTTTGCTATTCTAGGTCTTTTCTGGTTCCAGATGAATTTTAGGAGTGATTTCTCTAGATCTATGATGTATGTTGGTGGTATTTTTATTGGGATTGCATTGTATCTGTATAACAGTTTTGGGAGAATGGGCATTTTCACAATATTTATTCTTTCTATCCACGACCAAGGGATGTCTTTCCATTTTCTGAGATCCTCTTCAATTTCTTTTTTCAGTGTATTATAATTTTCTCTATGTAGATCTTTCACTTCTTTCATGAGAATAATTCCTAAATATTTCATTTTTTTGGTTGGTAGTGTGAAAAATGTGGCTTCTCTTATTTCTCTCTGTATAATTTTGTAGTTAGTGTATAGAAATGCTATTGATTTTTGAGTATTGATTTTGTATCCAGCTACATTGCTGAATTTATTTATTACATCTTGGAGTCTTTCAATGAAGTTTTGGGGGTCTTCTATGTAGAGCATCGTCATCTGCAAATAATGGTAATTTAACTTCTTTTCCTATCTTTACCCATTTTATTTCTCTCTCTTGTTGAATTGCTCTGACTAGTATTTCCAGTACTATATTAAATAGGAGCAGTGATAAGAGATGTCCTTGTTTTGTGCCTGGTTTTAAGGTAAATGCCTTCAATTTTTGGCAATTTAGTATGATACTGGCTGTTGGTTTGTCATAGATGGCGATTATCATATTGAGATAAAGACCATCTACTCCAATTTTCTATAAGGTTCTTATCATAAATGAATGTTGGACCTTATCAAAAGCTTTTTCTGCATTTATAGAAATGATCATGTGATTTTTACTTTTGGCTTTATTGATATGCTGGATTACATTTATTGATTTATGTATATTGAACCATCCCTGCATGCCTGGGATGAATCCCAGTTGGTCATTGTGTATAATCTTCTTGATGATTTACTGCATCCTATTTGCCAATATTTTATTGAGGATTTTTGCATCTGTGTTCATTAAGGAGATTGGCCTGTAGTTCTTTTTTTTTAGTTGGGTCTTTCTCAGGTTTTGGTACTAGAGTAATATTTACTTCCAGTAATGACTTAGAAAGGATTGCTTCCCTTTCGATTTCATTCAAGAGTTCGAGGAGTGCCAACATAAAGTCTTCTTTGTACTTCTTGTAGAATTCTACAGTGAATCCTTCTGGGCCTGGGATCTTCTTTGCAGGTAAAGACTTAATTACATTGTCAATTTCATTAATAGAAATTGGGTTTTCATCAGTTTTACATCTTCTTGACTAGTACTTCATATGTTTTTAGGAATCTGTTTATCTTTTCTGTATTATCAAACCTATGAAAGTAGAGGTTTTTGAAATAGGTGTTGATGATCTTCTGTATTTCTACAGAGTCTGTAGTGATTTCACCTTTTTCATTCCTCATTGCACGAAATTGATCTTTTTCTTGTCTTTTTAAAATAAGGTTGACAAGAAGCTAATTAACTTTATTTATTCTTTCAAAGAACCAACTCTTTGATTCATTGATTCTTTGGATTATTTTCTTAGTCTCTATTATATTGATTTCTGCTATGATTTTTATAATTTCCTCCCTGCTTTTGGCTTTGGGCTTGACTTGCTCTTCTCCTTCTGAATGTTTAAAGTATAGCATCAGGTTATTTATTTGTATTCATTCTTTTTTCCTGATGTGGGAACTCAGTGCAATAAATTTTCCTCTACATACAGCTTTCACTTGAATCCCACAGATTCCAGTAAGTTGTATTTGTATTTTTGTTTGCTTATAGGTATTGTTTAATTTCTTCTTTAATTTCCCCTATCACTCACTGATTACTCAAGAGTATGTTATTCAGTTTCCATATGTTTGTGGGATTTTTGCAGTTTCTTTTATCATTAATTTCTAGTTTCCTGGCACTATGATCTGATAACATGCATGGGATAATTTCAACTTTTTTGCATTTATTAAAATATGTTTTCTGAGCTAGTATACTATCTATTTTAGAGAATGTCCCATGTTCTGCTGAGAAGAATGTGTATTCTGAGATTGTTTGATGGAACAGTGTATTATATCAAGTTAATTTGTTCACAGGTGTGATTCAGTTCTGTTATTTCTTTGCTGATTTTCTGCTGGTTGATATATCCCTTGGTGTCAATGGTTTGTTATGGTCTCCTGTTATAATTGTGTTATTGTTAATTTGATTTTTAATTTCTAGTAATACTTGGTTTATATAATTGGGTGCTCTGGAATTTGGTACATATATATTTAAGATTGTTATCTCTTCCTCTTGAAGTTTTCCCCTAACCAGTATGTAATGACCTTCTTTATCTCTTCTGATCATTCTTGGTTTGAAGTTCACATTGTCTGCAAACATAATAGCTGCCCCTGCTTTTTCT